GCCACAACGCCCGGCTATTTTTTGGTTGCAGCCGTCATTGTTGTTTGGCGGGTCTGGGCTGGGGATTCGAACCCGCCACCTTAGGTGTACGTGGCTGGCACCTTAGCTGGTTGAGCTATAGGCGCCGAGCCTGATTGTTTATCTTAATCCTGCATCCTTGCTGTGGGATTTTGTACACAATAATATCTACAAATAGGGATAGTTTTATTTTTTCCTTTACAGTCTCTATGCATTTTATTGCCTCTTGTTATTATACTAGTTTGAACTTCAAGCACTGTGTTGAGTAAGAGTAGGGAGAGCAAATAAAATCTTAAAGAAACTGTTACAGAATGCAAGTAGAGACATGGGCATTAAGCAAATGGATTTTTCTATGAATTTCAGAGACTGATCAACTTCCTACTACCTTAATTGGAGAAAAGGCATACAGTTAGATATAAGGAACTTGGATTTTTTTTTATCTTCTGGGGATCCTGGAGCCTATCTCCTGAGGGTACTGAGAGATCATTATATTCGCTTCTGTACCTTGGAATCACCATTTTCTAAATATATGTATTGGGCTAGGTGTGGGCAGCTTATGCCTGTAATCCTAGAATTTTGGGAGGCAGAAGTAGGGGCATGGCTTGAGGCCAGGAGTTCAAAACCAGCCTGGGCAATGTAACAACATCGTCTCTACTAAAAATTTTTTAAAACTTATCAGGGCTTGGTGATGGGTGTCCCTACGTAGTCTCAGCTACTTTGGAGGTTGAGGCAGGAGGATCTTTTAATTTTTTAAAACTTATCAGGGCTTGGTGATGGGTGTCCCTACGTAGTCTCAGCTACTTTGGAGGTTGAGGCAGGAGGTTGAGCCTAGGAGTTTGAGATTGCAGTGACCTAGGCTGATACTACTGCGTTCTAACCCAGGAGACAGAGCAAGACTGCCTTAAAAAAAATAATAGAAGGGAAAATATAAAAGGGCCTGGCACGGTGGCTCACATCTATAATCCTATCATTTCTAGCACTTTGGGAGGACAAGGCAGGAGGATTTCCAAAGGTCAGGAGGTTAAACCTGGCCTAAGCCAGAGTAAGACTATTTCTGCAAAAAAAAAGTAGAAAAATTAGCCAGGCATGGTGGTGTGTGCCTGTAGTCACAGCTGCTCAGGAGGCTGAAGCAGGATTGTGTAAACCTGGGAGTTTGATGTTGGGGTGAACTTTGATGATGCCATTGCACTCTAGCCCAGGAAACAGGCCCTGTCCCAGAAAACAGATGTGTTGATTGCATGTTCATCCTAATAACAAAGAAGTACATAAAATATAAACTGAAAGTATGATGTTCATAGTGTATGGCTGGTTACTCCTGTCATTCTCAACAAAAGTCCTTCACTTGCCAGAGGAGACTGCTGTAATAGAATTTGCACCACTGTTACTGTGTGGCTTTCTCCCCAGGAGTTTCTCTCTGTGTCTGTTCTCTCATTAAGGACATCAGTTATATGCAATTAATGGCCCACACTATATATAGTATGACCTTATCTTAGCTAATCACATCTGCAATGACCCTATTTTCTTTCTTTCTTTTTTTTTTTCCTTGAGACAGAGTCTCACCTGGTCACTCTTGGTAGAGTGCTGTGGTGTCTTAGCTCACAGCAACCTCAAACTCTTGGGTACAAGTGATTCTCTTATCTCAGCCTCCTGCCTGCGCTACAGGCACCTGCCACAACGCCCGGCTATTTTTAGAGATGGAATCTCATTCTGTCTCAAGCTGGTCTTGAACTCCTGAGCTCAGGCAATCCACCCACCTCGGCCCCCCAGAGTGCTAGGATTGCAGGCATGAGTCACTGCACCTGGCACAAACCTATTTTCAAATAAAGTCACATTCTGAAGTTCCAGGAAGTACATGAGTTTTAGGTGGCACTGTTCAACCTTGTATAGATCTGTTGTGTTTGAGATATCTGTTAGACATCCAGATGGAAATGTTGAGTGGACAGTGGAATTAAAGAGAGACATCTGAGCTGGAGATAGACATTTTGGAGGCATCTGCATATAGATGTATGTAAAGTATTAGGGTTTTGAGAATTGTCCATTGCATTTAGCAAAGTGGAGGCCATTAATCTGGACCACCCATTTCAGTGGAAATAGTAAGGGTGAAACCAGATTGGAGGGATTTAAGAGAAGACAAAAGAGAGAAATTGGGAACTGATTTTTAGAAAAACAACACTTTTTTTTGTTTTGTTTTTTGTTTTTGTTTTAGAGACATAGTCTCACTTTATTGCACTCGGTGTGTTCTGTAGGGTGACAGCTCACAGCAACCTCCAACTTCTGGGCTTAAGCTATTCTCTTGTCTCAGCCTCCTGAGTAGCACTCTACCCAGGGTGACAGCTTGAGACTCTGTCTCAAAAAAAAAAAAAAAAAAAGAAATGGGTGGGAATGGAGTCTGGAGAAGAACACGTTCCTGTGCTAATGGTATGATTCAGTAGAGGGGAAAGAGTGTAGCTGAAGCAACATTCTTTTCTTTTTCCTCAGAGACAGAGTCTCACTGTCACCCTGGGTAGAATGCCATGGTGTCATCATAGTTCACACCAACCTCAAACTCTTAGGCTTGAAGAATCCTCCTGCCTCAGCCTCCCGAGTATCTGGGACTATTGGCGCCCACCACAACACCTGGCTAGTTTTTCAATTTTTTTTTTTTTTCTTGAGACAGAGCCTCAAACTGTTGCCCTGGGTAGAGTGCCATGGCATCACAGCTCACAGCAACCTCCAACTCCTGGGCTTAAGTGATTCTCTTGCCTCAGCCTCGCAAGGAGCTGGGAC